CCCCCGCAAAACAACTTATAAAGGGGGGAGGTGTCACATACAGCACTGATGGTACCTGTCTGTCATGGGTTTGGAGGGAAAGTTCCATCCTATGGGGAGTGGAAGGCGGGACATCAGGGGGGAGGAGCTGTACTGTATATATTTGGGGGAAGTCCTTCGTAAGAGAGCTGACGTGGAGAAGTGGAGTTGGAGTCTGTGGGTCAGACTGGGTACAACTGTTCGTCAGATAGTACATACCTGATAGGTTCAGGTTTCTATCTAGGTAGCCAGAACGGATAAGTTCAGGGTCTGTGCGTTACCTTAAAGTGTTCCGTGGGAACCAATCTGTTGTATGTGTATGATTGGGACTATCCCAAGTTCCAGTATCCTATTTACCTGATCATTTTATTTACCCTGTTTTTTTTTTTCAATAAACCTTGTTCTCTTGTTTATTAAAATCCATTCCTGGTCTGGGTGACTTGGGAGAGCGAATGGTTGGTGGCAGCATAACTACAGGGTGGAATACTCCAGTAGGTCTGGGATTGCTACAGGGAGCAGATGGAGAGAAGGAGGATGCAAGTTCCAGTAAATAGTTCCCCAAGCAGCATGTGCAGTGGATCGAGACTGAAGGATGCCTACACACACATATATATGTGAATGGCATGGTCATTGAGAAAGGAGGAGTAATTCTTCCTGTCCTTAGCAGAGTCAACAGGAGATAAATTGTTTGTGCCAGGTATTGGGTAGGTAAAATGCTGCATTAATAACGGCCTTGAGAAATACAGGCCTTGAGAAATACAGAATCCAGTGTAAATCTGTTTCTCCTCTATGCCAGTCCATCTTCACCACAATCTACAGTATTGCTGCATTTCAGCTGCTCTGTGGTGTATCTCCATGAGTGCAACAGTTACACCTGCCGTGTTCCACCCCTTTTGGCATGATCTCTTGTGGCAGTGGCATGTCCTTCGTTCTGCTGGTGCAGTAGGCTTTCAGCCAAATCATGTGGCTCAGAGTGGTCCTCCAGCTATTGTTGGACTGCAGCTCATATCATCCCTCACCACTGGCTTTGCTGACTAGGAGTCTGCTGGGGATTGCAATTCAACAATACTAGGAGAGCCACACATTCCTCAGCTCTGCTATATCTTTTCAACTGGCAGACCTGATATGGAGAATTGATCTGCTCCCTGTATGTTTCATTTTCCCACTGAAACAAACGCTTTCACAGTGACATTAAACTCTTTTTCTTTTAGTTTTTTTAAAAATGCAATCCATGGTTGTATACAAAATTAAAAAAATTAAGAATGAAGGCTATTTGATTTATTTTTAGTGGTTTTAATTTGGAAGAATAGTGTTGATGTACCACTAGGGTATTTCAGAAATATGTAGGCCAAATATTGATCTAATTAATTTATTATTTACACTTGGATAATAGAGTTTTGAGACATCTGTTATAAATTCAGTATTACTGAAACCTGAAGGTGCTTTTGAATACAGAATTTGTAAATACTGACTGGACGTACAGTATATTCATATTCAATTGAGATAGAATTGACTCAATTCATTCTGGAAGATGCAACATAGGTTACTATAGCTTGAAGGGCAGTCAGATCTTTGTGAGTTGTGTGACAGTCAGTGTACACAATGGTTGACAGCTAGATATGGTATAGTTATACTCTAATGGTATCACTGTTGCTTTGTTTCAAATAAAACATAAAATGGTAGAAGAAACAATATACTGTGGCTGTAATCTAATGCTTTGCACTGTGTTTAGATTTTAAGATGATCTAATCATCATCATCTTAGAACTGCAAAACTGAAAGGGACCCAATGGATCACTGACTCCATCTTCTGTCACAGGGGCACAGGGGAGACTCCAACAACCAACCTCTGGTTCTGCAGCCAGATACCGAAACCAAAGATCTATTCAGCTGTGCTTTTTCTTCTTTTGACCATTTGCCACTTGTATGTATTTTCATTATATTATATCCTGTTTGAAAGTATTCCCTATTTGTAGGGCTATCTAGTTCATGGCTGGTATCAATATGAAATCTCTTAAGAAGCCAAGCTTGACATTTCCTATGGTATTACCAGTGGGTATCTGGACTCCATACAAAATTTACCTGAGCACCATTACGTGGGAGCAGGTTACAGGAAAGTGGCAGCTCTCTCACGTATGAATCAGGCTTTTTAAATTAGTCCCCTATTCAGTAAGAGAAATGCTGCTGAAAAGAGTAGCTTCTTTTGGTTTTGTGGCTGCAAGTACCAATTTAGAAATGTAACTAACTATTCACGTGGGTTGATTGTTTTGAATGATGAATGACTCCCTTTTCGTGCCCGCCTGTTCTCCAGCTGCTTCTGTAGATTTATTTCGTGGCTGGAATAAATGAATAATTATTTAAATAATCTTATGCCAGGGGTGCCGTTTTGGCAGTGCGTTGCCCTTCTAAGGTAAGTGATGAATATGCCCGCATGTTATGTTATAGAGAGGTTCGGCTGCCACATGGGGTGAGATTCTTTCGGTTTGACCCAGAGAAGTGCTAACGGCTAGCCTGCCCGCGCTTTCAGTGGGGGAAAAACAATACATTCTAATCCCCTCAGCCAGGACTGACTTTTAAACGTGGCTCAGACTGGGTGATATCTTTTTACAACGCAGAGCTTTTCGGTTCTCTTTAAAATGTAATAGCTAGTCTTTAAGGTGCCACGTGTTTTTGTCTTTATTTATTATTA